CTTGATTCTTTCTTGAGGCTTTATCAAATTGTGAACGTCTGAATGTCCTCGCAAAGAATGAGCCTCCTTTCAAACGAAAACAAATCGAGTTGGCTGTCAGTCAAATACGGTCGGAATGTCAGTACCTTCGCAATAATCTCCAACTGATTCAAAGGAAACGGTAAGGGTTTGCTTCATAATACAAGTGGCATGTATGACTTAGCTTTTACTCTGTTTTCATTCTGATGATTTAATATTTTAGAACATCCATTGAACAGGAGTTGCATTTTAGAGCGAATCTTTTTGCCCCTCCAGTCGGTTCGCCGGGATCTGGGGCAACAGTTGTACATATTGACAATGAAATTAATGAACATACGCGTCTCCAAGCTGTTGGTCGGCAGCTCGATGAAATGTTACTTGGTGGCTCTGCCAGCCTTGAAGCTCTCAAGTATCAAGGGTATATTGGGTTATAATACATTATTTATTGCTTTAAAATAGTAAAAGCTTTAGTTTGTATTTAGGAACACTCTAAAAAATTCTCACCGACGTTTAATGGATCTTGCCAGCACATTGGGACTCTCGAACACTGTAATGCGGTTAATTCAGCGACGGAGTTACCAAGACAAAGTTTTGTTTTACGCTCTCGCTGTTGGAACTTTAATTAGCATGCTCCTAATATGGCATTTTGTCCGAAGATGGTAACTTCTCCCTTACTTTGAAATTTTCTTTACTTTGACTTGTTTCTGGAACCTAGTGTTGTGATTATGCTGTTATTTTGTGAATATGGCCTATAAGTGTAAGAAAATATTTTTAAATTGTCCGTCTTCAATACTGAAATTTCGTCTCATTTTTCTTGCTAAATGAACTTTGTGTCAGTCATCTGTGCACAAGAAGGAAACAAGTGAAGTATCCTTATTTAGTAAAGCCCCGATAGGAAGCTACGCTATATCTATGCATGTGTCAAGTAAACTCATCGTGGTAGGTAGGAATAAGAACAAGGGGAGATACGGCAAGCAGTGGCGGACATCAATAGTCATAAAAGGAAGTTGGAATCTAATTTCCCAAGTCAAAATGTCTCAATTTAATGGTGCATCATTAGTAAATTGAACGAATGGGGATCCATGAAATTAATTAGGGGAACTTTGTAACGATATGTTCAATAGCAGTTAAGTTGGGGACTGGGTACTTATGTATGGAAAATAAGTTCCGTGGAACTTAGTATTTAGTGTTGATCGACATCTACTGACGAATTGTTTGAATAGGTTATTAACCGTCGAAATTTAATCACCTTCAATGCATTCGATATGAGTGGAGCACACAGCTTTGTTACCTCTGAATAAAGTAATTTCATGCGCACCCAGACAGACTTGAAGGTGAGATGTGGGCTGAACTTAAGAAGTGACTTAACTCCCGAAATAGAGCAGAAGTGAATGGAGTTTCTCTAATCTATCGTGTTTATGGATGGGACACCAAATATTGATATTCAAGATTCTTTCAGGGCCTAAGCCACCGATATAGATGGAGGCATCGCGTAAGGGAACCGCAATCGGCCAGTATGCAAACAATCACTGCAAGTTAAGAAGTGTCTGAAGGAGTTTGAAGTCGGAAGTGGACCAACAATATTGACATGAATATGTCGAAATCGGTCCTCGGGAAAAAGGAAACAAGGGAGTGAACTTCGAGTGTGTTTATGGACCTTGCTGGATTGACAAGTGAGCTAATTTTGGTCCACCGACGGACGTCGTGTAGGATGTTTTTATACCTAACGGTCGGTGAACAACTTAGTTGCTTAACGAAGGGTTGGATATAATTTTCATGAAATCAGGATCTGACTCTTGTTCGGTAGCCAGATTCTGTTAAGTTCCAAACTAGATATTACATCGGCAACAACGTTGTTAGTGCCAACACTACGTCGTATATCTATGGTGAGTTGTGAAGTGAGGCCTAAATGCCAGATTTCTCGGGGAGAATAGTGGCCTGCGGTTGCTCGCATAGCAAAAAATCAGGGTCTTGTGATCGGTGAAAATCATAAATTGCTGCCCTTTCAATATGTGTCGTAAGTGCATGACAGCCAAGTAGGTAGTGAGCAGTTGCCTGGCGAACGTGCTATATTGCGCTTCTGTTGGGGGGGGGGGGGGCGAGAGGAAGCATAGAGGTTTCACTTCACCTTTGACCATCTGTTGCAAGACTGCTTCGACTGCCACTTGTGATGCGTCAGTCTTTAAAATAATGCGCGTCCCGATAAAGGTATAGAGAAGATTTAACGCGGTCCCTTTGAATGGCTAGTGTTTCATTGTGGAAAACACTTAATCGTCCACTGATGTCATAGTGAAGTGCATTGGGTTACCCTTAAGAAGATCTGTGGCAGGATGAAAGATTTTAGCGCAATTTGGAATGAATCTTCAACAATAACTCACCACACCTATTAAGCGACGAAGGATTTTCACCTATTGGGGAATGGGTAATCCACGATGGATAGGGTTTTCTCGGGCATAGATGCATTTCTGCGAAATCGATTTCAATTTGACCAAATATGCACTTCTCGGGGTTAACCTTGATTCCGTGATGCTAGCGATGAGCACATTATCAATATATGTAAAGACGAATGACTTGGTCCATAAATCGTAGGAATGATTGTGCCGCATTGAGTAGACCGTAAGTCATGCGTGGGTAGTGGAACAAAACGACTGATGTGATTGGTTTTTGTAATATCCTCTGGAGTCATTAGAACCTGATGAAAAGCTCGAACGAGATCGAGGTTGTTCAACATGACTTCGTCATGTAATTGTAGAGAGAAATCATGGATATGATGCATGGGGTATCAGTGCAGAACTGTCATTTGATTGAGAGCTCGATAGTCTCCGCATGGTCTCTAGTCACCGTTTTTTTTCTTCTCGTCTACGTGTAAATGGATCGAACGATTCCAAAGAACACCGCGTGTTGTAAATCATTTTAGCAACAAGTTATTTGTCAGAGTGAAGACGACGTGCTCGAGCAAAAATTGGCTGTCCCTTAATGATGAAGTGATGACGCTCTCTATGTTAAGTTTCCAAAATCTCGGTCTGGCTACAAAAAATCGAGTGAAACTCAGATAGGTTATTCGAGAGTAGATTGATGGCAGGTCGTGAGACATTTAGATCAAAAAATCTTTGAATCTCAGCAGTGCAAATCGCTTGAGGGGAGGTGGCGTTGTCATGCAAGGCGCTGCCTCTGAGATTGAACTTAGAATTTAGAGAGTAAAGCAGCACCAATAATGGGATTGTGCACTTCCGCAATAAAGAATACAAATGGAAACTCTCCTTGAAGGGACTTTTGGCAGTGGGTGCAGATCTACGTGCTGTTCATTGCCAGAAGGGACAAGTTGATTGATGTAGACAGCGTTTTTTTTGGAAAGAACGAGGGATAACGCTGACTTCAGAACCCGTATTTACCAGATCTTTAAGTTTGGAATTTCTGCCGACAGCGTAGAGGAGGCGACTTGAAAAGTAGCCAGGATCAGTCGGCACCCTTACTGTATGGCGTAAAATTTTTTAATGATGACTGCTCATTTAGGGTTTAGGGTATTTACAGCTAGGCTGACATTTCGTGGCCTTGTCTCCGTATGTTTTATGATAGTTGCAGATTTGGCTAACATGTTTTGGGAGAATTCGTTGGCTCTTTGGTGAAATAAAGCACTGTCTGTAGAGACGTGTCGAGGAGACCGATATGAACTGTTTCAGTTTCTCTAGCCGATTAATGAGGACGTCTAGTTGCCGTGAGATGGTGAAAGCGGAGGTTGGAGTTTTCACTGTGTTGATACTTGGCCTATCATTAATCGAAAGCCCTCTGCTTTTGCCACGCTAAATTTGCGTTCATCACACTACGATACTGAGAAATTATATATCCCGATTACGAATCATATGTTTGCCATTTCCATCAGATAAACACTCTACTTAAAGGAGATTGACATTAATGGTCTCGTGA